ATTGTAGAAATAAATAAATTACTATGACGACAAAATATATTAAAACCGTCTCTACCCTAATTTCATTAAATAAAAAAAAATCTCTTGAAAATTTCGAAGCTTCTTAAATTAATCTTTTAAAAAATAACCTGAAATGCTGATTAGAATTTTAAACCTCTTCAATATTTTCTCCACTATATTTTTTTATAGTCTTTCATTTTTCTAATTTTATTTTTTGTTTTTTTTTTATTTTCTTTATCCACTAAAAAATTATGCACTGAAAAAAAAGACAAAAATAAAATAATCCCGAAAACAAATTACAAAACAAAAAAAAAAGAAATAAAGGAAAGGCCATGTGGCATTGAACGACAACGGCAACAATAAGAAGAAGACAAGAGAAACGATAATAAGCGTGTAGAGTTCATAAGAAAATTAAAAATATCACGAAAAATAAAAACATAAAAACAAAATAAGCAACTAAAGTGTAAACAACTAAACAGTTAAAAATTGAGGCGAAAGAATAAAATTTCTTATTTTTGCCTTAGTGCCCTTTTCATTATAGTCTACCTATAGAGAGACTCTTGATATTATCGCAATATGCTTTTGAAAATAAAAGGGCTTCACTTAAAAATTTTTATTTTCTTTTTTCCTGTTTCTATTACAAAAGTTTCAAAAAACATTATTTTTACATGTGAACATACTTATAGATATATTAGCACTACGCTCTGAATAGGTGCTTTCTATTCTTCGAGGGAGATCAAAAAATTTAAATACATAGTTTTTATTTTTAATTCATGTTATTATTTTTTCCTGGGTTTTATTAAGTAAAAGAAAAGCCATATTTGAATACATTCATCAGTATTGGTTATAATATCACGGATGTAAATGTGAATTTAAGTATAGGACCTACTAAAATTTACAAGATAATTGATAAACTACATACATTTTGGTAAAGGTTTCCGTTTAAATGAAAATCATCAAAATAAATTCAGATCACATAATATTTAATACATTTTAGGAGCAGCTCATGGCAACGGTTGTCAGTTCATGGGAAATATACTCGTAGCCAAATAACTTTTGTTAATAATTTGACAGCTATATTTAAACCATTTCGATGAAATCCAATTTAAATAGGGTTCTAGCATTTAGTATAATAAAACATTTGTGCAAAATTTTGTGAGTTCGCGCAAACGAAACCTCTTACTCGTATAATGAGTATATTTTTCAATTGTTTTATAAATGATAAGAAAAATACTAAAGGTAGAATTAATAATTCCTTTAAGTGCATTACGAAAATAGGAAAAGTTTGAATAAATTGATTTTTAATTTTCTTCCTTAAGACTTCTATTTTCTTTTAATGTCTTTTATATACCATTAAGGTTCTGATATTAGATACATATATTTTATAACTAAACTCGTTGCACTACACACATACGTTTATACAGACACAATATCAATATTTTGATTTTATTTATTTTAAATTTATTACTACTGCAATATGCAATTATAATTTATTTAAAAGTTTTAGTGCATATATGTGTATGTACATATGTGTATGTATGTGGATATATGACGAAAATCCCAAATGAATTAACCCTTTGCTTTTTACTTATATAGTTTACTTTTAAAATAAGAAAACCACAATCCTGTTCTAAAAATCTTATGTCTTCTGTCATTATTTTATAAATTTTATTCATACACACAAAGATATTTGTACACTGAAAAAAAATGATCATTATTTTGGTAGCCAAAAACATAACTACAATTTTATATCTGAAGTCGCTAAAAAAAATTACAAAATTAGCAATATTTCTGCTTACATATTGAATATAAATCTATTCTATATTGAAACACATAGCTGATTTGTGACATATAAAACGTAGTTATATTTTATGACTGCATTTTCAATTGATTTTTTGAGATTCTTCATATGTGTACATGATAAACAAAAGATTTCTAAAATTACTACATAAAACTTAAAATTTAGCTAAATATTTTCACTGTATTTACAACAGAACACCCTCACTTATAAGTCCCACTGTAATGTTTTTCTTTTGTGCAGTAATAAAAAAAATGCTATAATAACTAAGATATGTACTGACTATTGGCCAATTTCCCATATAAAGTCTCGAAAGAGAGTGCATACTTGACTTATGCACTCTGTTTCCAGAACATAGCCTTGACTGAAATAAATAATGCCGGGAACAGTAAATTTTTATGCTGCATCTGCAATAATATGGGGCTCTGAGTAACGAAAACAACTAATGTTAAGAATGCAGTTCAATAAAACATGGCAGAAAATGTTAGTTTTTCGCACCATTCCGATTTCTACCAATTTTTTTTTAATTAGGAGCATGCAAAACTATGGCAGATGTCGTAATATTTTTTTTGAGTGTAATATTGTAATTTTATGGGATCCATTGAGTTTTTAGAATATAATTGACATTTCCAATTCAATATTTAGTGCATCAAGAACTAATAGACACTGAAGTATTTTAATGTACATCAAATGTGTAAATATGTACGAATTTATGTTTGAATATGTACATATTTATAGAAATTTGTGCTCTGTGCAAAAAGAAGTAAAAGAAAATTTTGAAATTGTTTGAGAACTTTTTTAAGAAAAAAAAATTCATTCCTTTTTTGGATTTTATTTTAAAATCTTGATAAAAAGAAATTTTTAAATTTATTTAGAAAATTTTCGCTAAAAATTTCTTTGCAAATTGCTAGCAGGAATTCTCTTCTTCATCTTCATCTTCATCTTTTTCATTTCAAGGAATCAAGACAAAAAATAAAAAACGGAATGTTTTTACTTTTTAACAAAAATGCTTTATGTCCTTTTGTTTTCGTTTCTTTTTTTCTTATTTTATGATTTTTCTTTTTCATTTTAAATATTATAAGAAAAGTATTTCAAAAATTTTAAATAGGGCCTCTCCTTTTATCCCAAAAAAAAAAAAAACCAAAAGACAAATTCACTACATGGTGAGGCAAAGTTTTTATTTTTTATAAGAATGATTTTTTTCTCTTCTTTTTGATATTATTTCCATTCGGATATTGTACCGTTATATTCTTAGTACATTACTGATAAAGGATGAAAAGGATGAAAAAGTATTTTGTATGGAATTTCTTTTATTTAATATTTTTTTTTAAAGGGAAAGTTCCAAAAAAGTTAAGATACATGTTATGTTTAAGAGTGTGTATGTTTGTGTGTGTCTGAATTTATACAGAATTCATAAAAACTAAAAAGAAGAACAAATATTTTCTTTCCTTTTAAAATTTCAACAATAAAGAAATATCGAAGAATAAATTTTTTTCTTAAGAGTAGAAGAAAAAAAAAACTGAAATAGTTTTTAAACAGAAAGCTTATAAACTCTATATAGCCTTCTACTTCAAAAATACTTCATTATATTGATTTGTTAGAAAAAAATAATAATAAATTGGCCAACTAAAAACTCATTCAAATGTTTTAAAATAGGACACTTTACTGTTCTTCCTGAATTCGATGATGATTAATAAAAGTCGAATGAAATTTGAAGGCCTTAATTTGGAAAAATAATTTTTTAATTAAAATTTCATATAGGCTGCACTGCAAAAGTTGTTCTCGAAAGTTTTAAATTATATACTAAAATCTACTAAGTTTTTTAAAAAATTTAAATTTTTCGAATCAGTTCCATATTAAAGGTCAGAAAGTAGAGTAAAATTGCTGCTTTTCTCTACAAGTGAACATACATATGATGTTGATGAATTGCCCGTTGATAGCAATTGTTCAAAATGAACTTTTTTTCTTGAAATAATTTCTTCAAAATGTGGGCTTATAGGACGAGTAATAGTTCAACATTACTGTATTTTTGAACCCTTTTTGAAACCACTTATAAATACCTTTTTTAGAACTTTCGGCTGTGCATGAACAGATTTGAGAAAAATTTGCAAGCTATATATAGAGTATGTTAATATATTTTCAGTTTTCACAAAAAAGTCATTTGTATTATGCAAAGTATCAGTACCTGTATCACAATTACCTTCACGAATTGTTAAAATTTAATTTTGGTCTGCGAGATTGCGATCTTCGATTATCAAGTAACTATCTTCATTTGTGAAATTGCGATATTTAACTATCATTCATAACTATATTTATCCGTCAACTAAAGTTTTCATTTGACATCAAAATAGTTAATGTGATTATGTGCAGTAGCATATGAGTATGATAACTCGATTATGTTCATACCTAGTTAGTCAATTTTACCTTAAAGTTCATAATAAAATTTTTAATTTAAAACAATATCTTAGCGTAAACCTACATGAATTATAATTGGTATACAATGAATTTATTCACTCAAACCGTTATGAACTTATGTCAATTAAATGAGATCATCAACTAATTAACTCAAACCAATTTAATATGACAATTTCATATTGAAAATTAAGCCATAAAAGGCTCATAATATAAATCAAGAAAAGTAATTTTCGATGATTCACTAATATTGAAAGGTTTTCTAAATTTAAATCAAGTTTTCGAAAATTAACATAGAACTCCAAAGTCATTAAATATATTTCTTTTTTAAGAGCAATACACAAATTTCAATATTTTTCAAATTAAAAATTATAAAAATTTGAAGTTTCTTAGAAATTCTGGTTTTCTATCAAAAAGAATTTCAGTTCTGAGATTAAAATCTCATTTTATATTGTTTATTCTTCTCATTTAATATTTTTTCAATCTAAAATATTAATTGGATTGGAAAATTAACCTTAAAATCTCAAATTAAATACTAATAACTTTGAACAATAAGAGTCTAAGTCATTATAATATTGAAGTAAATTTTTTTCTCTAAAATTCAGGTATCATCAGGTAAATTCTATATATATTTTAAATATTTTAAAGATTAAAATTTAATCATAATGGTCTGCATTAAAATCCTTATAGAATTCAAATTATCCATCATAAAAATTAACTATAACCTAAAAAAAATTTTTTTTTTAACATTAGCACTTTTAACATACATACATAAATAATACGTACTTACATATAAGAGGTTGTATTGAGAATTTCCAAGATACCTGTAAGAAGGAAATAAATATCAGGGTCGAATCAATTAAAAACCAAAAACAAAAATAAAAAAAAATTCTTTTATAAAGTAATTAATAAATTCATTTTAAAAGAAATATCCCATGGCGTATACCATACCATACCTACCTATAAAAACCTTGACTGATTGAGCACATAAACATATACACACAGCTATGTTTAAGAATTTGATTAGGTAGGCAGCTGAGTTTATGGTAAAAATTTTTGATAATTAAAAAAAATATGTGCTTATAGAAGTATGAATGCTCCTATTTTTGGTATAAGTAATGCTGATATCAAAAGAAATTTGAGTAACCCGGGGTATATATATTGGTATTTTAACAACTATTCTTCAAGGACATGAACTTATTTACAATAATTAGTATGTAAAGTCTATTTTGAAGATTTTGAATGTCTATTTGAAATGCAAGATATATGAAAAGTACGCAAACCTATTATGAAATTTTGTTAATTTCGAATTTACGTAAAAGATCTTATTAAAAATATAAAAACAATTTTGTATGTGTACAGTTTTTCGAGCATTTCGAATGAAATTACCTAACTTTAATCTTTGTCTCTGCATGCACGTTCCATACATACACACCCAAAATAATTTAATTGAAAAATTCCTTACCCTATATCATCTTTAGATCATTTTTATTACCCTAGCGATTTTTGAAACCAAATACAGAAAAATCACTGTGACACAAAACAATTGTTTTAAAAAAACTTTTCAAAAAAAAAAAAATAAGAAAAAATCAAGTCTTAGAATTTTTCTATAGATTTTCATCCATAAAATAACAATCATAATTGGGAACTGCTGTTGATTCCTTTACTATTTTCATTCTTAATATTCAACAGAAAAAAAAAATAATGTAAAAGAGAGAAAAAAAAATTGAATGTTATCGTAAGTTTGTCTATACATGCTGAATTAAGATGACGATTGACGATGATGGCCCTTTGAAATTTCATGTTCGCTAGGATAATTTGATTTTAACATATTCTCGATTTTATGAAAAGAATACATTAAAAATTTTTTACTTCATTTCTAATAAATTTTTTCAAAAAATCTACTTGTCGTCTTTAAGTATTCATTATTATTGATTTTGAATACAGAAACAATTGCTAAAGCGACTTGGATTTTTTTTGTACCTTTATAATATTATGTACATACAGTCGAAACCCTTGAACACGAACTCTTGTAAGACGAAATTCTAGTTAAACCGTGTTGTTTTGCAAAATTTTGCTTCATGACTAAAATATTCATGTACTTTTGGCATCTCAACGTGCAAAATCTATAAACCGAAATTCTTCTTAACACAAAAAATCTTCATGTCATTTTGATCATGTCATATTGCCTCTATAACACGAAATAAGCAAACAGAAATTCTGTTTGAATGGACATTTTCTCAAAACTAAACAATTTTGATATAAGCAACCTCTCTAACACGAAATTTTTCATTTGGAAATTGTACGAGTATATTGATTTGGCCCAATTATAACTTTATTGTGCATTAAATCTGATGGATTTGAAGAGTATTAGCTCGTTATTAATTTTTCAAACCACTACGAATTCATAGCCGCGAATTCTCTTTATCACGAACTAAGTTTTTTTGTAATATGATGATTCGTTCTATACAGGTCTAACTGTATATGTTTTGTGCACAATATTTATGTGGTATGAACATAGACCCATTATACAAACTCTATTTCTTACTTGCACATTGTTTAGAAACTGAGCACAAACTGCAATGATGATCATTTTAGCGTTTTAGTAATTTTTTTTTTCTTTTAAATTTAATTTTTAGTTTCCAAAAATTTTTACTTCGGTATTACAAAATTTGATTTTCTCTTATAATCGTTTTTATTTTGCAAATTTCAAGGCAATAAAATAATATAATTTTGAGCAATCTACATATTATTCGAATTGAATATAAATATAAGAGAATTGCCATACTATTCTAAATATATTAAAATTATAATAAAGCATATATTATATGAAATGTCTCTGATTGTATAAAATTGAAAATGGGGGCGAGCTGTATGATGCTTTTATATCTAAATATGATTATTACATTCTATTTAACTGGAAAATTAATTTTGTTCTGAAATAGTTCATAAAATTTAGATGAACTTTTATCTTAAATTATTTGATTTTATATCTTTGATATTAAATAATCACCATCTAAGTGGACATTAAGAAATTCTTCGAAATTAAATAAAAATTTTCATGTAAAAAAATATAGTATCATTTTTTATTATTTTTATTTTATAACTTTAAAATTTATAAAAATAAAAATATTTTGTTGCATAATACATCAAATATGCCATCTACTTTTCAATATACAAAGTAATCTATATAGACCAGTCTCGATTTTCTTTATTATTATCGTTTCGAATTACTTATGAAAAAGCAATAAATATTGACAATAAATAATATTATTTTCGAAATGCCAATGATTGTCACATTCATGTTATTGATATTTTTTTTTCTCATTTTTCTTCATTAATATGTGCTTGTGATTTGAGAAACAGAAGACAAAAAATTAAAAAAACAAAAATCGAATCGGATCGGATCGGGTTAAAGAAAAGAAAATTCATTATTGTTATTATTGCCTTTTGATGTTCTTTTAGTGTTGTTGTTGTTGTTGCTATTATTGTTTTGTTTTTTTTTTTTTGAAAATGAAAACAATGGAAAATTTTCAAAGTTGAATATTTTCTTTATAGATTTGTCTCCTCAGATCGTTTCCCTTTAGGGCAAACATTTTCATATTCTTTTCAAAATTTTTTTTGTTTTTTAAAAAATTTTCTTATTATTTTTCGTCTTTAAAAAAAATCAGCTGAATTATTCTTTGAAATTTCTGTTTTTATTATTATAATTTTCATTATTGTGTTGCTATTGTTATTGTAGCTTTTATTATCATCATTGGTTTTATTGTTGCCAAGTATTTTAAATTTTTTGTTTTAGTTTTTTGATTTTTTTTCTTGTATGGTTTTTTTCCTTGTTTAGTTTGTAAACCAAATCATGCAGAAAGAGGCATCATTTTACTCAATACAAAACAAAAAAAAAAATTAACTATATACCAGAAGAGTCTCCTCTACTTCCAATCCAATAGTTTGGAAACGATGGATTTCATCAAGTTGATTTTTTATTTTTTTTACTTTTTCTGTTTTTCTTAAACAAAAAATGCTGTGCTTTGAATTTCAGATATAAGTAGAAAACCAGTATCTCTTAAAGACAGTTATACTCTATAAGTAACAATAGAGAGGTTGGGTATTTTTGTGAATATTGTTATAAAAATTATAATTTTCAAAATATGGAATTTTTATCTTCTGTTATACAAAATTATTCTATTCTTTCGGGATTTTGTATATACAATAATAAATTCAATACTTAAAATTTAAAAAAAAATTTTTCGTCATGTCGTTTTGTTATAAAAGAATATTTTTTTATTCTTCCAAAAAAAAAAAAAAATTTCTAATATTTGAAAGAGTTTTAAAAACTCAAGCCTTTTATTCTTGCTTTTTTATTATTAATTCTAAGTACCTCTTTTTTTTCAATATATGACATTTTTTATTAACTGTTATATTAAGCGTATTGAAATTTTTCGATACAAAATTTCGATTCGATATTTTTTTTTCTCTATACCGTTCATACATGCGCTCATACAAACAAAAAAAAAAATTCATTTCTCATGCCCATACTATTAAAAATATGACAAAGAATCACAATTTTGCGGTTTAAAAAAATATTTACAATGCAAAATGTTGAATTTTTTACAATGAAATGTTGAATAGATAATTTGGATTTGTTTTTTGCTAAGCATCTTGAATGACATTGTCTTTCTACATTGTTAACAGATTAAAAATGTCAGTTAACGAAATTCACTAAACACAAACTGAAATTTTACTTAAAATGTGAGGGTAATATAACTAAACGGGTAAATTTTATAGACAATGCCTATAATAATGATTTTCTTAACAAATTTACAATGGTTGTATTTGAAAAAGAAACAGTCAACTAAAATTTGCATTATTCGCAATATATAGAAGACAATAATGAGCTCATTAGTCCTGCGATCTTAATAGTCCTACTGTTTAATCTTAGACCCAATTAAATTGAGGTAATAAATTTCTTCAATTAAAATCAATATTATTTAAATAAGTTGAAACCTTGAAAAAATTATAGTTAAGATTGCATTATGTACCCTAATCCATTAAGCTATTATTGTCTATTGAACCATTAAACTGAATTGCCTATTGATATATAAAATTATTGCATTCTGGAGTTCAGGAATATTGTATACCAGATACGAAAAAAATGACTGGGTCATTAATATACACTTCGTTTTATATAATTATTAAGTGCGTCCGGGGACAAATAAAAGAAATATTCGAAAAAAAACCATAAATTTCGAAAACGAAAATTCTAATATATTCTCTCAGACATATTTATTCTGAACTTGTGGTTAGTGATGTACAATACGCAAATAAGTTCTCAATATTAAAAATAATGTAGCGATAAAAAAAATTGGAATTTTAATGAAATATTGTCATACTACCCAACACACCCTAGATTTTGAGCTCCTTATATTCCCCGTGTAAACAACATTTTAATATTCAAAAAATTAAATCTATGCAAAACATTTTCAAAATTTTAATTTCAAATTTTAAATTTCGAAATTAAATTATTCACCTATCGGTTCAATATTTTATTTTTTGTATAATTTCTTTTTTGTATTCACCCGAAGTGGAAATGTTATAGACTTTTCTTTTCTATATCTATATGTATCTTTCTCTTGTTCTGCTATTTCTTTTTTACACTAAATAATTGTATAAAAATTACATACAAAAAAAAAATTGCCCATACATATATACAAAACATATATGAATAAAAATAATTCAATATTATATTGTATAGCAATCAAGAAACTTATAAAATTAATGGCATATGACGGGGTCATACAACCGTCAGTACCATTCACCACAGTTA